TCCCATAACTAATGTTAATTAATATGCCATAATTAAGGGTTTTTAAAAAAATGAGTTGACATTTTGACAGACTATAAAAGTATAATAATAGTTCTGATAACACTATACTTTTAAATCTACACTAACAAAAAATATGGTCAAAACTACCAGAATATGATAACAGTTACCATGTTTACCTCTCTAAAAACACTAAAAAATTCGATAATTTTGGTAAATTTGGTTATTTTATCATAATACCTTATATCATGGTACAAAAACCATTCATTCGGTAAAATTTACCTTTTTTATTATTGTATTCTTTACTAAATGAGTGGTAATAAAGACTATAATTTTGAAAGCCAGAATTTTCGGTTGACCATTACCATAAAAACGGAAAAATTAACAATAAAATAGTTTAAATCGTGCACATTTTGGTTTTATTAATTGGATTTAAGTTTCTTTAAACTAGAATTATTATTATCATGCAGTACGGTTATTTTACCAGAATTTTTTCTCCATGCATGATTAAAATGTTGTAAATCAATCTTTTTAGTGTTTCACTAGATTTTTTATGTATTGAATATTTTTTTAGCATCTAAGGACTTTCATGCCATAAAATAAAACCGTAATTAAATTACATAAAAGAGAATTTGACAGCCGTGTATTTTGGAATAAATTAAACATTGTAAGGCAGAAAGGCTAATGAACAACAAATTTATATTCAATAAATCATTTGACTAGCATGTTATTTATTCAGTTTTCGTTAATTTATTTGTTATTATTAATTTCTTTATATGCATACACTTATTCATTTGTAGTTCATAGGATAGTTGGTTTATGGTTTTTCATAAGATAATAAAACGTCAGTTATAAGAAATAATACACAACGTGTTAATAGAAAAATTAAATCAGTTCAAGTAGTAGTAATGGTATGATCGATATTTTTTCAAAAAGAATATTTTTTTCTTTGGTAACTTTTATAAGTTAATTTTACTTATCAATCTAACTTAATTTTGCTATTCTGCAATAAAGTCCATCACAATCTAAAGTCCCATTATTATTTTTACTTTGTCAGTATTACTTTGTTGCAATACTGGTCTTTTGCCAAAATGCAAGTCGCAGCCAAAATACAAAATATTTAGCGTTTTATTTGTTTCAAAGTTGTACAAAGAGTTGTAAAATAAATAACCCTCATATTTAAATTACGTATAAATATGTAAACAAGTAAACCCAATGTTATAATAACAATGATTCAGAGTTAACAGTAAAATAGTTAAAAATATAATTAATTTACATCTATTTATAAATACAAAATCACTTCAAAGATGCTAATTCCTAACATTTATAAATTTTTTTAAATTGAAAACATTAACTCAGGCTTTTTAAAACATTTTATGACTTTATGCGAATGAAAGATAAAATGAAGACAATTTGAAAGTGTTTTGACCTTAAAAACAATGTAATCAACAAAAGAAACAGTTGCAACATTTGTCAGATACAAAAAAAGACGTCTAAAATTCCGAACTGTCAACTTGGAATCAGGGGAAGAATAGTAATTACATTTTAACTTTGTCCTTTGATTAGCGGTATACAAGGAGAATTTCATTTCACTTACTTCTTGAAAGATAGAATGTCTTTTCTTACTCATTATTCAGCCGTTCGCGCAATAAACGGAAGAAATTGTTTTATGCAAATTAACATTCATCACAAAATAAATCATATGATAAATGAAAAGTTATTTAAAAAATAAGAGACGTTCGAAAATATGCGGAGATTATACACTGAAAAAAAAAACTGTAGTCAAAACTACCAGAATATGGTAAAATTCATAATATTTCTGGCTTTATGGAAACACTAAAAAGCTTGGTATTTTTTATCGAAGCGTTTTGGTAAAATTAATTATAAAATATTGTTTCATGATATGTTAATCGAGGCAAAATGTGGCCATTTTATTATACTTTAGAGCAGGACATAAAAACCATTTATTCTGTTAATTATACTCTTCTATTTTGTATTTTTTACTTGTGGGGCAAGAACTATAATTTTAAAAATCATAATTTCCAGTTAACTGTTACCATATGAGCGGAAAAATTACCAAATGAATGACTTTTTTTTTAATCAAAAATTTCTTTTCCATGCAGTGAGATAATTTTAACTGAATTTTTTCTCCTTGTAGTTTCCATCAGTTAAAGAGATTCAAAAATATAGAATAATATCTGATTCTGCAATATTTTTTTTAAACAGTTTTACATTCCTTAAAAATCCTAACATTTCGGAACTCCAAATTTTCTATTGCATTTTTCTTCTTCTATATTTCTCTGAACAATTTAGTATTAACAGAATGCTTAATTAATTGTTAATATAAATTGTATGATAGTTTTCTCTGAACAATTTAGTATTAACAAAATGCTAAATTTATTGTTAATATAAATTATACGATAGTTCTAAATTGTTTTCTTATGTGGGACTAAATATAATACTAACATGATACAGAATTATTTATTAAAATAGTTCTATTCTAGATTAATTAATTGTTTCAATACCATGAAATTGGTACATCAAAAATTGGTTAATCTGAGGCAAAACCTTTTAAAATAGTTTTCTATTTAAATATTATTTGTTAACTGCACCGCAGCTTTATGAAAATTTAGATAGAGTTTCGCGATATTAACTCTTATATAGTTACGCTGTTTGAAACAATTGGAGTGCTTTGATACATCTTATTTTTAAAATTAAAATTAGTACGTTTTAAGAGGAACTATATTGTAGTACTTTTTAGATCAGATTACATGATACTCTGATGCAACTTGAATTGAAACATGGTGTAACTTATTACAGTATTGAAATTACAGAAAACTTGTTTAATTTTCTGATTCAAGGTACTGACATTGTTTCACGAGCAAATTGTTTAAAGTGATTGAATCTTTTGCGATGAAACAATGTACTAAAGAAATATAGAATACTCTAGAACACTAATTTTAGCAAATAGAAAAACATCTCTTGCCAAAAAGAAAGAATGTTAAAGAATGTTATTATTTGATCCTACTTTGACCTTACACTTGGCCTTACACTGACTGTAGATAATAAGCATTCTTATCCCTTTACAAATTCAATTTTGTTACTTGAAAAATTAAACTGAAAAAAATTAAAGAATTAAAGAATAAAAAAGAGCAACAAGAACAGAATCTTAGCTTTCAAGCTTTCGAAGACAAATTCATTTTTTAATCAATCTCCTTATAATATTGTATAGGACATAAAAATAAACTTTTCGGGTTTATTTTAAGTTTTATTTCATGTGAGAACTAAAATTCAACCGCACTTGGTATTTTTTTAAAAATTTTACACTGAATTAGATTCTGTAATTTTAAATAATGATTTTTAAAACAACATAACTCGATAACTTCAAAAAGTTTCAATTTATTCAGTTTAAAATTTAACATTGTATGTTACTAACGCAGCTTCTATTATTTTGACTGAGTTTATTCTTTTTTTATATTAAATGATAAGCTGCTTTTCTAAGGACTTTTTCATTCAATATATATCTCCAATTTATTAAAATAATAAGAAAGAATTCTGCGTGCAAAACAATCTAAATTATTAATAGGCATCCTGTTCGATTTTCAGCTAAAATATAAATCAAATTATAGGTTTTATAAAAATTTGCAGAAGTTCGCAAATGATACTTGGGATATTTAAAAGAAAAACGAATTTTATCCCGGATTTATTTTTGAACTAATTTTGATGCATTTGGTGCTGTTCTAAGATTGCGCTCGGGGACAAATGCTCTCCGTCTGGCTACGCTACTGATGAAAAATAGTCACAACGAGAAAAATGCAGCATGGTAAAAAATATTGGAATTGTCAAGTGCATAACAATGTAAGGGGGATGAAGAAAGTAAATAATAAACCTAAAAGTCATAACAGAAAAAACTAGCTGTAACTTTATATCTAATGAATATCATTTAGGTATAAAGCTCATCAGCATAAACCTGTCATAATGATACAAATCACTTTCACGTAGGTATCTTTTATTTTTAGAAGGAGAATACACTTCGAAAAGACATAGAACAATATACCTTTGTTATCAGTTTGTCACTCCAAATAGTCCCGTGGAAATGGGGAATAGGAAGTGTTATTAAAAAAATATAACTCAAACAGCATTAGAAAAGGGGAAAAAAATAGCTTCACGCGTTAAAAAATACAAATTACAATTTAAAACTAAATTTAAGCTTCATTATACGATATGATTTGAGAGAAATATAATTATTTATTTTTACGTGCTTTTTAAAATTTCAAAAAATACAGATTTCGTATAGATCTATTATATTAGAAAAGGAAAAATAAATTTAAAATTTAATTATTAACTTCATTTAATCACATCAAATTTGAAACTTTTAATTAAGAATTCATGCAACACAAATATTAACCATTTTATAGAAAGCAGTTAAATGACTACTGTTGAAAATTAAAATCTTCATTTGCAATAAATTTTATGGGAAGGTTTAAAAAAATAATTGTATTTTTACTGAAATTTCAAAATAAATATAAGGAAAATAAAATATTTCAAAGCATAATAAAAATACTGTAAAAATACGTCAAGCAATACTTTTATTTTACACTTTTTCCCCAATAACGGAATGTCAACATCCGTTATTGCTTTTATATAGTTTTTACTTGCGTATCAGTATTAAATTTATATTTTAGCGTATTTTTGCTGTTGAGAAATGATTTTGAAATTCAGATTTTTTTGCTGAAGTAGTTTTTATTTAAAAAGTTCTTTTCTAAATATTTCGAATGTTTATAATAAATAAAAAAAACATATAATAGTTGTAAATAATAAAAAATATGTTTATACTTTTTCGATAAAATATTTTTACAATTATATTAAATATCTAAAAGTTTTTTAAAATCTAAATATTTTTATAAAGTAACATAAGATTAACATAAAATTTTAGAAAAAAGTGAATTTTGAGTGGAAAACATTATAATTATTTTAAGAACAATGTATTAATTTTTACTTACTGCCGATTCTGACGATCTTAAAAAGAATAGGTGCACTAAACAAAAAGTAATTATCCACCTAGAAATCATATTCTCCCCCCTTGCTTAAGGGGACGGATACTTCACCTTTTCCCCCGCGCGTGTTTACTTTTTTGATGTTATCCTCTCAATATTATCCTTATTACTCCTCACGCTCTTGTTGACCCTCAGGAAATCGAATCAGCGCGCCGTTTCAAGACTTCGTTTCACGTTTACTTCCGCTGAAAGAAAAGAGTGCCGCGCAGTAACACCTCTTCAATTCGTAGTTTATCCCAGTAATTATTTTTTCACTCAATAACTACCATATTTTTGATACGATTTTTTTTTTTTTAAGATTCGAAGATGATTGGAAAATTATTGTTCCCTTTTTAGGAGTGAATCCTTCTCTTTTTTTTTTAGTTATGATTTTGAAAGATGGAAGTCACCGCGCCTTGTTACCCTTGACAATTATCAGCAAAAAATAATAATAACAGAAATGTAACTTTCATCATTTTCTTTTTTCAATATGAAAATATTAATTTTTTTTTCTCCGAAGAATAAAAAAATATTCAAACTTAAATTATACATAAGGAGATAAATCATGTGTAACTTAAATAATATTTATAAAACATAAAGAGAAACACCACGAGTTATAAATGTAGTTCAATTATTTAGTTTTTAGATAAATATTTGTTTCTGAAATATTAGTTTTATGACAATAAAAGAACATAAATTTTATATTGTGTGACAAATTATATTGGTACACTAATTATAATTATAAACTTGACGATTTTCCTTATGAACAAAGCGCTCAGACTAAAAGGATTAGTGAAGTTTTTACCTATGCATTAGTTTTTGCATAATTCAGAAATTCGCATATATTATGAAATGTTAAAAAGAAAAACAATATTAAAATGCTATTAGTTTTTTGTCAACTATTTTTACATAAGTTTCATACAGTTTCGAGGAAAAGCAGAAAGTAGAAGTACGTCAATGGAATTTCGTATTGAGTGCTGCTATCAAGATTACATACCTGCTATCCCCATACTAACAACTATTAAAAGTAAATTTTATAAATTCAGTTAAAAATTTCAGAAAAATTAAGAAAAATGAGATTATTAGGAAAATGAGATAAAGTATCAGTTATTCTACGAATTTAATGATTTTAAATCTATAAATTTCTAAACAGAAGGCAACCTGCATTAAATTTTGAAAACCTTTTAGTAGTGTCAAAATTACAATTTTAACACTCGTAAGAAAAATTTATAATCTAAAAAACTTTTCTCAAAATATTAATTGCTAAAGCAGAAAAAGGATGGTCTCACATACCATTGGAACCATCCAGGTTACTTTAAAAGTACATGAAACCACCATTTTTTAAAACCATCTATTTTCTATGAAAAAAGTTGACTTATAGTTAATATATTTTTCTTTGAACTTGCTATGCATTTAGTCTATTTTATGATTTGTCAAACTGTGAAACCAGCTCAAAACATTTTTAACTTTTTGAATCTACTTAGTGCATTAAATTGGCAGGAAATTTGTAAAAAATGACAGTTTTGTTTCTGTGTATTAGCTCTCTAGGACTAACTTATGCTCTTTTCATAACATTATTTCTTATTATGAAAATAACATATTTCATTCCAATTATTGTTTATATTTACCATACTTCTCAGAATTAAAAAAAAGTTTAAAGCATTTGCCTCTCTTTCAATAAATCTAGTATTATCAATCGCATACTTTCTGGTATCCTCACGTAGACTATTAAAGATATTAGGTGAGAAATTTTTATATGGAAAAGAATTTAATGCAATTGTTTATTTTGTTTCGCTAGTTTTCATAATCGAAGAAAACCTAAATGTTTTGAAAAAGTACAAGAATCGTACTTTGTTATGTAATATTGAGCATAAAAAAATCATACAGTTTAATACCTTTTGCTCGTGCTTTGTGTAAATATGAAGGATTGTTTACTTGTTCGAAGAAAAGGACATAATATCCATTTACACACTATTGTAAGTTTAATAAATTTTCTAATGTTTTTTCTTACATTTTTATTTACATTTAAAAAAAAAATTGATAACAAATTTCTTGCAGCTTTTTTTTCTTTAAATTGCAAAAATTATCGAGAAATATAGAAATAATAATTACTGTGAAATATAATTTGATTTCTAAAATTGAAAAAAGCTATGCACAATCTATTAAAATATTACGATATTTGAATAAAAATTGGTCTTAAGGTTAGTTTGAAAGATACGAAATTTGAAATCTTTAAAACTGAATTTGTTTGAGATATATATTTGAAAATAATTAAGCAAATAATAATTCTGATTTAAAAATCATTGAAGCGATCTATTTAATTAATTTCAAACAACGAAATGGCATTATATTTCTTGTCTATCAGGCATTTTTTTCAAAATACATATTATGTATTTACGACAATGTTCAATGTTTAGTCATTCAAATATTAAAACTTTCAGTCTAGACATCTAATAGTCATTGGCGTGAACGCAAATCCAGACAGTGCTAATACATATAATTTATCCATTGTAATTATCTTAAATTCTTTAATAAATTAACTATAAATTAATGCATTTATAAAAATTAATATTTTTCCTGAGAAAAAATAAAACAATGAAAGAGTTTCATTCTTATAAAAGTTTATGATATTTTTATGATTAATAGTTTGCAGTTATCAAACAGTTCGCAGCTATTATAGCAGTTATGATCGATAGTTGCAGCATGAGTATGTTTTTTTAATAGAAGAAATGAGTATTTAATTAAAAATATTAATGTTAGAAAAGAAAGTATTTCCGATACTGCAGATAATAGTTTAGATACTCGGATAAAGGGAAACTCATAACTCAATATTAAATGAAAAGTGAAGAAAATTTTATAAGCATTGATATGGAATAGTGCATTATAAATTGAAAACTCAACAATATGACAAACATATGTCAAATTATAATTATAAATCAGGCAGGAAATAAAATTCAAACTTCAGAAGATTCTAGAATGAGTTATATTAGTTCAAATGAGATAAAATTTGAACTCCAGATATTAGAAATGTCGCACTTGACATTTATTAAATAAAAAAAAATTAAGTACAAAAACTTACCAATAGAGGGAGTTATAAATGAAATTAATGAGAATGGAATTAATATGCGTATATAATAAACGTATAGCGTCATTTGCGTTACAGCGCTTTTCAATTAGTCATTTTCTATGGCATGAGTATGCTACTCTAATACACTTAATGTTTCGAGTAAAATCACTACTGCTGAAAGTGTTCCTTTAGAACCAACAATACTCCTGCGGCGCAGTGGAAAATAAGGTTTTTTGATTAAATGTTGTTGAATGTGGAGGGGACATATCGAACAATTTTAGTACTACTTTTTTCAATAATAATATTTAGCATTTATAAAGTGTAGGGATGAAGTTATCGACAATGTCAACCTTCATCTATGAAAAGGTACCCCACCAAGGAATCGAGTTAACATGTCTTATATTGGAATTATATTTTTGTAGTGGTATATACACTACAGTACTCCCCCAGCAGAATTATATTTGTGATTGAATTCGATGAACGGATACCACTAGTTGATTCATGACTGTTTTTTGCGTGAAGCCGGGAAAGCTGTATTAAAATCATCATACTTTTTGAATGCTGATCGTGAGAACTGTATTAATTTCACGGTCGTGGTCACTCCTGTGTTGCCATTAGCAGTTGAGTGAATACGTTGTACTTTATGTGTGATCGAAATTGAGTAGCAACAGCACGAGGAGGTGGATAATGCCGCAGTCACAAGTAGCAAGTCAACTGTTCAATGTGGACCATCCATCGAAGAAGGCGTGTTCAAATCGTAGTGGGCGTTTCTACCAGGGTAGGCGTGTTCACATCACGTCCGAAGGTCGCCAATGTGGGGGTTTCTGTCAAGGTAGGCACGTTCACATCACGTTCGGAGGTTACCAGTATAGCCATAGAATCAATTTAACATGTCTTATATACTAGCGAATTGGACTTATATTTTTGTAGAGGTAGATACACTACATAAAGCATCTTAAATGTGTTCATATTTATTACAGCGTCAATTATTGACATATTTTATAAACTGAACTTCTTTATTTCAGTAGACTGCATCATTGGAATTATCTGTAGTTAAAATTTTGTTTCATTTGGACTTATGGAACACCTTTTTGAGATTTCTGAATTGTAAAACCATTTCCAGTTTACCCTGTATGTCCCTCATCAATCAATATTTTCACAAAGTGGTTGTAACCGCAGCATTTGAAGCTTAATTTTTCTAATTTTGTTGATACAGGCAGATAGTGTTACTGTATAGATTATTAGGTTCTATCTCTATCAGTGCTATAAAATTTTAAATGGTGATGGAACATGATGATGCACATGATTTTATAACATGGGGTAACAAACTAGTGAATTAAGCAATGAATATTTGATCGCACAAATTGTGCAGCTTTTTTCTAAAAAGTCAAGTTTTGAATAAACAATACTTTGAATAATTACCAAGAGATAACAATATAAGAAACAAAGATAATACAATACGAAACAAACAAGCTAACTTATAAATAAAAAAGGAAGTCTTAATTTGCTATATCATGAGAACTTTTTAACTGAGTTATTTCAAATTTGCAATGGGCGCATTTTTTTATATTGCAATTACATAATTTAAATTTAGATAACTTGTAATTAATTTATTCTGAGCTGTATATTTCACCCTCTTTTCTGTATCTTTGTTTCATTTGCTCTGAATATATCTAGATACTTTATAATCATCACATACATTCTCTGAATATTTTTCTTTGTCGAAAAGAACCGTTGGAATTTACATAAAATCTCTAAAGATTATGTTAAATTAAATAAAAAAGCAGAAAATATTATTAAAACTTAACAGTGGAAAGTTACTATAGATTCCACTCACAGAAAAAAGGATAAGGAAAAACCAAACAAATTTTGAAATCGAAAGGCAATTATATTAATTTTTATATATTGCAGTGATTTGGTAGGGAGGAAGCATTAATTATCCCAAGTCATTATGAACTTTATTTATTAAAACTAGAAAGACAGAAACTTAGTATATACCTAAATTGCCCAAGAGCAGTCAAAATGACTGGTGCGTGAAGGAATAACTAATTTGTAAAGAAACTTGTTTAAAATTAATTTGTAATATTTTTTATAACATTTACAGTTATATAACAAGTTATTAGTAAATATT